GTCTTAAGCGTGTGAATATGAGCAGCTTTCAACAATGATGCATGCCCCCCAACATGCCAATAGTAATACACAATTTACTCATACAAGGGACCAGGAGCTCTTTGAGAGTCAAGACAGGGTGTAAATTGCTGCAAAGGGTCTTTTTAAATTGGGATCAAAACATTTTTTGACAATTTTAGGTTTTTAAAATTCTAGCTATTGTCACGTTTTCTAGCAAATGTTTCTTTTCTCAGCTTAAAAAAAAAGTGTAGGCAAATGTGGGCAAAAATATTCAGATTAAAAACCAAAAAACCCAACAACCATGATTTATCATTCCAAATGGTAAAGTCTAGTTTTCCATTTCCTCGCCATGAAGACCCCACCATGCAGGGTGTTGCCAGTTCCTTGTGGGACAAGGGCAGAGAGATTCGGTACAGTGCTGGAGTCTCCCAGGGAAGGCTTTTAAGCAGAAAACATCAATGTTTCTTACTTCCAGGGAGAAACAGACCCTTAAAATTCAGCTCAGAAATGAACAGACATGGTTTTGCTGTGTATCTCTTGTCTTACTTCCTTCAATAATCCTATCATAAGGTGCAGTCTTCCTGACTCCAGGGATGCTGAACTCACTCACAAAGAGCATATCCTATCATTCCGTTGAGCAGTTAAGCCTGTTGGAAAAGGTATCTCCGTATAGACATACTAAAACTGACCCTTAGAAACTTCCAGCAAGGTACCTTGTTTTCATTTTTAAAGTTACAGGACAAGCTGTTTTCTTCAGCAGGACAGCTCCTTGCTGCATCAGTCACACTTCAAATTTAAATTAACTCAGCCTGGAGATGACTCAGAACTTGCTGCTCTTGCAGAGGACCTGGGTTCAATTCCCAGCACCCACATGGAGTAGTTTACAAGCATCTGTAACTCCAGTTTCGGGTTATCTCATGCCCCCTTCTGACCTTTTGTGGGTATGTGGTCCCCAGACAAACATCCAGAGAAAACACTCACACATAAAATGAATAAATCTATTGTACATAATAATAGTGATAAAACCTCAATTCTTTTGACTGCTTTTCTAGGACTTATGTTGTAGTAGACTAATACAGGATGTCTACAGAAGCTAGATGCTACATAGGACCAGTGATAACCACATAAAATGCCAGTGGATTGAGACAGCATACACTCAGCTCTGCTTTCTTTTCTGATTTTCCACCAATGAGCTGACATTTTTCCAAGCAAACCAATTGTTTTGGGGCCAAAATATTTTTTTTTTTTTTACTGTTTTCTTATATAAAGGATAAAAAAAAATTACTACTTCAAAGTTTGATGCTAGAGGAGGTATATAAAAGTTAAGAATGCAAACTACTTTTCTTCATTGGTAAACATTTAAAGTATTAGAGCTCTATCTGGGCATGGTCATAGACTATTTGACGGAGGGACAAGGCATAAAGGAGTAGTAGCAAAGCCCAAAACATGGTCTGCAAACAAGAAAAGAGACCAGATACCCCAAGCTCCTGCTTCTGCCTCTGTCCCTTTGAATATGCTGGCTGTCATTATGATAAACAGAGCTGGAATCAGGAAGGAACTAGAGGTGACCTCATAATACTGTGGTATATAAACCATTGCAACAGTATCTCTGAGGCTCCACCCAATTATTTGGCTCCCATAGAGTGTTGAAAGACAGAGGTATTCTGTAAGTGTGTGCATACCTGATATTCTCAACTTTGTATGCTACAGGATAGTGTGAAGTGTGTGCTGAGAAGGCTTGGCCAGTGTACTTCACAGTCCCCTAGTCCCTGCCATGGTACTGGTCCTGATCACCAGGATAGATATCCATTTGCCAACATCCTTTCAACTAACTTTAATGTGACGTTTCAGGCTGAGCACAGATATCCAGAAGTATAATCTTTCTAAGGAAGACACAAACTGCCAAGTTCTGAAACCACTGTTTGAAGGAGGCTTAAACTTGGCTTTTAGTCCTGCAGAATTCAAGCCCATTTTCTACTGATTCCTGTGCCCTTATCCTAAACTCTCTTCCATCAGGGCATCAGCAGGCAATCTGATCTTTTCCAATAATATAGAGGTAAATTGTATTGATTTTCTTTTCAGAGCAAGCGGAGGTTAAATCTATATTCTGTCCCTGAACACTGCATTGTAAATACTTTTCAGTTTTCCATATATCATGCTGTTTTGAGATATGCATAAGCCTTTCTGGCTGGGAAAGCACTGCCCTTATCAGGGCTAGCAAATTATTAGACACAACAAAAGGTGCAGTAAGGACGATGTCGTTGATTGATAGGCAAACTGACCAATCCAAAGCCAGGCATCCTCTCCCATCCACATCCCAAAAGAGAAAATTTGCTCTGCCTTAATCATGCAAGAGCCTGGTGCCAGGGAACCAGAGATTACACTCATGACTTAGAGGCAGAGGAGATGATTTTCAATAGGCAGTTCCCAACTGTTCCCCTGTTCTGCATTCAATTTCCTGTGAGGATTCTAGAGAAGGCCATAGTCTAAGGTCTAAGAGGTCCCTCTACTACTAGTTTCTGGTCGTTGGCTAGCCTTGTGTCTTTCCCATGTGGCCCTGTATGGTGAACTATCCTTCCTCTCCAGGACTTGTCAATGTTTTCTGTTTGTTTGCTTTTTCTGGAGCCTCTCCTTTCCATAGAAGATGCATCTGACTGACTTGTTCATAAAGAAATGAAAAAAAACAAGCAAATAGGTAAAATTAGGACAGTCACTAAACCTAAGATGTAACAGGCATTTCGGTCATGCACACATTGGCCAAAATGCACGGGGTCTAGTTGGTCTCTACTATTACCCATTTTCTGAAAGTCTTGCCCAGTTTTCTGTCCTTGTCATCTTCATTTGTTAAACAGAGATGATGGTGTCACCTACCTCTTGGATAGTTAGAGTGTTTATGCTAACCTGGTACTTATAAAGCATCAAGATGTCTAGAACACGATACTGCTAGGGTTGGGTATAATTTGAACCTTTGTATCCTTCAAAGTTCAGGTGTTGGAGATTTTATCTTTTAGATGGCAATGTCAGAAATGGCATGGACTCTACAGGGTAGAGCCTCCTAGGCAATCCTTTTGCTCTTAGAAGGAGTTGTGGGATCCCCGTGGCCTGCTGTTTCCCTGTTTCCAAGTGTGATCGCTTGCTCTTGTTCATGGTCACACTGTTGGGATTCTGTACACTATGGGGTCCTCACCACAGCCAAACTAATGCCATAGCTGACTCTAAAGTACAATAACTGTAGCGAAATAAGCCTCTATTCTTTATAAAGTCAGCTTGTCTCCAGAGTTTTACTACAGAATCTGAAAATAGCAGTTACTATTATTGCATGGTTGTAAGGATGAAACTGAATAATGCATGTAAAATGACTAACATAATTAGTATGTAGGAGGCACTGGATAAGTGCATGCTTTTATTACCAGTTATTATTTTTATTGTGCTAAAATATATATTACAAAATTTACATGAACTCTCTTAAAGTATATAGCCAGGATATAGGCATTAAGTACATTCATACTTTTAAAAAGATTTATATTTTAGTGTGCCTGTGTGTGAGTATGCGCATGCGCATGCATGCGCATGCATGGGTATGAAAGACTGTTTCTGATCCCTGGGAGCTAAAGTTGCAGGCACCATTTGAGACATGGGTGCTGGGACCTGAACTCTGCAGGAGCAGTATATTCTCCTGAGCCATCTATGTACCCCCAATTCACACACTCTGCTCATCTCAATAATCACTATCACCTACTTACTAAATCACTATCCAACCAAAACCCCATGCCATTAAAAACCTACTCCCATCTTCATTCTCCCTAAGCCTTGGCAGTCACTGGTACAGCTCTCACTCCAGGATTTTGAACGTTTTGGGTTCCTCATTCAAGTGTCCTTTTGTGCCTAGCTTGTCCCATTCAGCATCCCTGGCATGTTCAGGCCCCCTAGCATTCCACTAGATATACGACTACATTTATTTATCCATTGGCTGGTTGGGCCACCACCACTCTCTGGTGGTTGTAACTATGTTCATGACCAATATCTCTTCTATTCACGTTATTTAGAAATAATTTTTCTGAAGTATTTTTCGTCAAGAAAACGCAAACACATTTTTACTTCTAACTTATCATATTCTTACCCTGTGTTACTAGTCACAATAAGCAAGAGGTAGAAATAACAACATGAAGCACAAGCAAGAGATAATAATAACAACACGATCGAGGTCAAATACTATGGCTGGTTCAGATATTGCTTATAAACTGCCTGATGTGTTATCTTGGCAATGTTCATAGGAAGTGACACGTCTGGAGGTGTTTTATAAGCTATAAAACACCGAGGGAATACAAGGAAAACTACATTCTGGCTTTCTCAGGCATGGGACCACAGAATGCTTATCTGTTTTTCCTAATCCTCAATGGCCAAGACCAACAGTGTTGTAGGAGTTCTGGGGTTGAGCCTGGGAGTTCAGTGCAGTCCTGAGCTTGATGAAACCACAATTCTCTTTCAACAAACATGTTAGTTTGTCCTTTTACTGGTTAGAGAGTGACAGTTTCTATTTTTCATATTTTTTCTATTTTAGATTAAAAATTCTATTTATTCCTTTGATAACAGCAACTGCAAATTGTTGACAGGTTACATTGGAGAGTCTGGAGCTTTGACTAACTCCCCAAAACCAACATGTGTCTTCCTCAAGTGCGTATCACTGAAGATACCAATGCACATGAAAATTTAATATAAACTGTCACATGACCAGCACACTTCAGAGCTCATCAATCTCCCATTAGATTGCTGGGACATTGTGACACTTAGACCACAATTACTGTGTAAGAAGCACGGAACAGTAATGCTGTGGCCAAGTCAGGCAAGAGCCTTGATGGATGATCACAGTTGATCAAGTTTGTCAGTTGCTTTATGTGTTTTTATGCTTGTTTGATATTCCTGCCTGCAGAAAAGAGGCTTTTAGGGGCACATCTGTCAATGGATTCAATTTCACATTGCCGTGTGACGCTTTCACTTACCCCTGTCTTCTCATCAAAGATTTTGATTCCTCCAAAGGAGATGGTTAAAAAGATTTTCTGTTTGTGTTCTCCTTTGGAACGAGCGCCAGCAACAACACCCTGTTGGAAGGAAGAACATGGTTTTTACTTTAGTGTTTTCATTTGAAAATTCCCTCCGGTCCAAAGGCATGTCAGACACCATCAGCGAGAGCCACCAATCATGCACACTCTTCCTTTGCCCTCCTGTAAACATCTACATCACATCCTCACATCTGCTTTATGTTTTAGGATAACATGGGTCTTCTCTGTTCTACCACGGGATAAATACACACCTGGCCATCCACTATAGGCAATGCTTTCTTTGTGCTGCAATCCTTGACTCAGAGTTGGGTAGGCTACTTGAGATGGAAACAATAATACCCTCATATAAATTTCTGTGTTGGTTTTTTTTTTTATATTGAATGTGGATTTAATCTTAAAAAAGGGCAAGTCACTCACAAGAATCACAAATAAAGATTACGGTTTTATACTTCTGGAAATATTTTTGTAGGAATGAATTATGTGTGAATGAAGTTTTAAATATTAGAAAGAAGCAAAAATATGTTAGACCCCCATTACCTCCTTTTATCCCTCCCCTTCTTGGCAAAACTTGATCATAATATTTATGCCTGGCATCTGAAACAGCTACTCAAAGACATTTATATTCTTTCGTCATTATTCTTCCCTTGTTATTCTTGTACTTTAAGGTGAAACATATAGAGAATGCATTCCATTTACCAACTTATGTATTTCCCACCTGCCAAGACATGTTATAAACCCAAGTAGGTAAACCCCACAGAAGCTAGAAATGCTACTTTGTTCTTCGGTCTAGCACCAGATCTTACCATGCCACCCCCAAATGGTTCTGGCAGCAGGTGGTCATCAGATAATTGTAAAATGAGTCTGTAATGTCACCTCTATGGTTTATGGGGCTCACATTAAGAGAAAAACCATCTACTTTTTAGTTAGATCTGGCAGTGGCAGTTACAGGTGGACATAGTCTAGGGCACATGTGGTAACTTTACTGCAGACATGTCCAGTGATGTGTAGGCTGTGGTTTCCTCAGCATTGGGTGCCACAAGGTCTCCAGTCTTACATCACTGCTTAAAGCAAAGCTCAGGTCCCAGCAATAGCTGCACTGAGCTTCAGGCATAGACAAATCTGAAGTAACATTGACTTCACAGTTCTAAGAGGTGTGTGTTGGAAATCATTTCCACCTCACGATATCTGATTATGTGCCTGATTCTGGACAAAGGACTTCATCTTAGTTCTATTTCCCCAAGTATCAGTTCTGTTTCTCACAGGTGAGAAAACTAAAGATTTACGTAAACTACCTAGCTTAATTTCCAGCACATAGAAGATATGCAGTCAACTTAATTTCTTCTAGTAATAAATGAGTATCCAGTCCCTTCATAGATGGGTAATATTAGCAGGAAATTCACGCTCTCAAAAGTTATCCTTCTATTCTCAAGGACATCTTACAGACATGCAGAATTGTCAGAGTAGGAAAAATCCTTAAAATGAGTTGATTAAAATATTTCAATTGCTGATAAGAAAACCAGTGCTAGGAATGCTGGTGGGGAGTCCTGACTTAGTTAGCAGAGAGAATGGTTATGAAGCTGAGACCATAGTGCAGCGCTTCAAACCACGGGTGCTTGAGAGATATTATTCTGTACATCGATTTTTCTCAGGGGCAAAAATCTCCCCCCTTCTCCATGTTCTCCATCCATCCCCATGACTGCTGTACCATGACCCTCCTCCAACAACTTCCCTGTAAATGCTCATACAGTGACTCACTTCAACGTGAAACCTTTTGCTTCTTCACCCCTCACCCCTTCTATGAGTATCTGTAGTTTCTATGAGTTCTCTGAGTCTATGGTTTCTAGATCCTTCCTCTGCTACTTGCTTTTGAGTTCACTGTGAATATTTCTAAGTACAAGGAGGAATGATGAATATGTGTCTCTGAAATCAGAGTAATTCCTACTTCTGTTCAGTAGAACCCTGCCTGACTCTTAGCCAGTGCAGACATACTTCACACCAACTGCACCTTATTCATCTCCCTGCTTCTCCTATCTTCAGGGAACTTACACCATTTAATGTGTCATATCAGACAGTGATCTGACAGGGATATTTAATTGTACATAGGACTTTTAAATTTGTTCCCTGGACCCAGTGATTGGAATGGAGTTTGGTATAAACTATACACTTAAAGAGAAGTAAGGTTCTTTCTCTCATTTGAGGAAAAATCAGAGGACAAGCCAGATACTAGGCCTAGGAAAATAAGATTTGCACTCATTCTTTCTGGCTGATTTGTATAAAACAATATACACTATTTTATTTCCATACCCGACTTTAACTTCAATTATCCAGTCAAAACGTAGAATAGTTAGTCTCTGGCTATGGTCCAAATTTTATTCCTCCAACTCTGCATGCCAAAACTTAATCCCCTTTGTGCACATGTTTAGAGATGAAGCCTCTGGAAAATGATAAAGTTACAAGAGCAAAGACCTCTTACATGGGTTGTGCCTGCAGAGAGGGTTGGTGGCCCTTCATTGTTTGTCACAGAACTTAATTCTCCAACTGGCAGAACTTAGCAAGCACCATCTTGGAGCAGAAAGACTGGACCATCATCAGACACTGGTCTTTTGACACCCAGATCCTGAATTGTTCAGCCTCCAGCACATTCTACAAATGTGGAAATACATTTCTATTTTCTTTAAATTTAAACAGGGGAGAATGTTACTCCTACAGCCAGGAAGTGTGACCTTAATATTTCCCTCTACAATACAGTCCCTGACTTACAGAAATTGCTAGAACATAAAGAAGCAATACAGTCTAGCATATTGGTACCAACTAGAAACCAAGGCCATCTTTGCTTATTGGTACGATGAAGTTCTTATTCCCTAATGGAATATGACTGTTCAACCAGAAGGAGAAGAGCCAAAGGCCATGTTCCTGAGTATCTGTGCCTGGTGCTTCTCATTGAGAATGGAGAGAAGGACTGTCCATATGGTGTTATCTTTGGAGAAATTAAAATGTGAAATGATACCAAGGATGCTTCCTTTGTGGGATGCTGCTGTGCCAGGTTCTGAGAACTTACACTAACTACAGGCACATCTGCCATCCTAGCATGCCACAGGGATGGTTCCCTTCAATACTATTTATTGAACTGTGCAGGAAGAGCAGTGATAAAGAGAGGAGAATATTCAAATATTATATCACATGAACATGATGCTGTGCAAGTCTGTGGTGACAAGAAGCACATGTACAAATATAATAGACCACTAGCATAAACACTGAAACTTCAGGATATTGCTACCGAAAGCTTCATCTCCATCCTCAGTTCTGCTGGTTACTAGCTTTAAGATCTTTACAGGATAGAGTTCATTGTAAATTCAATTTTATCCTCGTTACTGAGGAAATGAAGTATCTTTTTTCAGTCATGTTTCATGCCATGGATAAATATTATGTCCCCAGCAGACTGCTCTGGTGTCATCTGTTTCTTTGCCAGGCTTCCAGTTGTATTCTGCTATATGAGGCATATACTAGAGGTCAGAGAGTTGACAGAGGGTGAAGCTGGGATAATTTCTTTGCTTCCTTACCACGATGGTCCATGGTATTGGCTGCTGTCTGATGGGTGTGTGTGTGTGTGTGTGTGTGTGTGTGTGTGTGTGTGAAAGGATAGAGATCACTTTGCTCCTCTTGGACTCTAATTAATAAATGTTGTTTGGGGAAGGTGTAATAGATGGTAGATCCTACATATCCACACCATGTCTGCTTTCTTAATCTTGCCTGACATTTCCTAGCCTACTCTCTTCAGGGTAGATTCTGTATCTCTCAGGACCCTGACTGGCATACACTTGTGGTCCTATGCTCAGTGGTTCTTCAGGCTCTAACTCTGGGACTCATCCTACTCACAGTTTCAGTCACCACTGTTCTACCCAAGATTTCTGAACATTGACTTCTCTAAAAGTCAGTGAGGTATGGCCAGTACTTAGAGGTAGAAGAGAAAAACCAAAATGAGAAAGGATAAATTAAGCCTCAACACAAAATATGATACAACTGAGTGTTAAACTACTACTTCTTAAATGCTGGGGTTCTGGAGATCCAGTTCTGAGTTCTGGGAAAGACTGTAGAAGAAATACTTTAATGTCTCTGAACCTAGATTTTATAGGTATACCTAGACAAACCAATCTCTAGCTTGTAATATCAAAAGCTGATTTATGTGAAGGTGCCCTGTTGACTATAAGTTGAAACATGGCAATAGTCTGTCAGTAGATATGTCTGTCAGTAGACAGTGGGCCCCTCAGATGCACACAAAGAAACTGTCTAGAACATCTGCAGTGCAGGAGGAAATTCTCTAATGGATGATGTATCAACTTCAGAGTCTAGCAAAGGGAATCCATTTCTTCCCAGTTCTCATATGGTCTAATAGGAGAAATTGGGCCCCTTTTCAAGGCTAAAAGGAATTTTGTACTTCTCTGTCTCTTTCCTGGGCAGGTGGCCAAATGTAGAATCGATCATTTATGTTTCTGTGCTTCTTACAGAAAAACCACTGGGAGCTGAAATGTCAACATTCTTCTCAGCATGTTGCAAATAATGAAACACAATCATCTGGAAACCAAGAACCTCTCAATGTGTTCACTGCATTTGACAGGAGAGTGTTATAGCAGGACAGATTTTCTGGGCCTTGGGATCTCATGATTATAAGGGATGACAGATGGAATGTTTCACTACAGGTAACACACACACACACACACACACACACACACACTGACACCGATAGCTAGACCTGGGTCAGCTACCATGGCCTAGTGTTAACGCCAATGGTGAGTAGAAGGAACTGCTGCCTCATACCCACTTAGACATGGGTGCTTTTACAAATAGAGCTGGCCAATAAGGCTTTCAGCAGCTGGTACCCGATGAATAGCTTCTCCTAGATACTGAGTAAAGGGGATGCAGAACTCCTCTCTCCTCCATAAACTGGAGAATCAAGTCTATGCACAAGAAGTGCACATTAAGGAGTGGTTTTCTGACGGAAGAACACAGAAGGCTCAGTCTCTCTGGGGCTCTGTAGGCAGCCTGCCCTGGCAGAGGATGTATTCTCATTTTATGTGTATATGAGCAGAATCTGGGCTCTGCTTGGGTTGGGGGTCAGGCAACAGTGGGGAGAACAGAGGATTCTCCTACAAACCAAGCACCACAGCCTATGTTGTTCAAGCATCTGCCTGGGGCCCTGTTTCTGGTCATATCCCCTAGGCCAGCATTCATCAGTCATAGAGGAGCGGCCGTGGGAATCTTCGTGCCTGACTGCCTCATCTATTTATCATTCAGGTTGGAATTTAGAAGAGAAAGAGGGCTCATTATTGAGCTGCTCTGAAATCTCATAACATGGATTCATTATCGGGAAAAAAAAAATCACTAACCTCTTTCCAAGGTGAAAGTGTTACGTCATGATTACATTGTTACCAATGCCCTTCTCTAATATACTTAAAGTTAAGCATGCATTGATTAAAACAGAATTTGTTCATATAGCATTTTAAATAGCAAAAACAAGGATATAGAACACTGAAGCCTGAGTAGTTTTAAAAATTCTGCTTTTAACAGCCATGGGACTAGGAGACCATATCCAACAGACATCTTAAGTGACACATACAGCATCAACAAAAATAAATAAATAAAAGTTGTGACTTAACGAAGCAAATAAGAAAAAGGTAGTGCAGACAGTAATTAACAAATTTCTGTCACTTAAAATACTTTTAGGCACTTTGCCAGAATGTGGCCAGTTTTCCCTTTTCCTATAGTTAAAAATATTCCACTGACCTAACAGTGTCAGAGAGAGAGAGAGAGAGAGAGAGAGAGAGAGAGAGAGAGAGAGAGAGAGAGAGAGAGAGGTGTATGTGTATGAGCTCAAACATACCAGGTTGTAAAACTATATAAACTATAATCCATTTTTATTATAAAGTGTATTGTTTATATTACAGAAGTAAAACAATTGAGATTAAACACAAAAATGTCACCTCTCATTTTTGTGTGATTTTTGGATTATTTTAGGTTTTTCCCTTGTATTTCCAAAGTTTATAATCAGAATTTTATGCTGAGAAAAATAAGTCGTAAACATGTTAAATGCATGAAGCAGGATTCTTGTTAGATCATTTCCTTTTCTAATATTTTATACCTTAATTCTAAAAAAATAAAGAGGATGTGCGGAATCAAGATCTGGAGGTCTTGGACTCTTTTAAGGCTTATTGAAAAGAGAGCATGCTCTTTGTTGAGTCTGTTTAAGTTTTGTTTCTAAGTTACTCCTCTGGTTTTCCCATGCAAAGCCATCATTGTTGTCCAGCTAGCTGCAAATGAAAGCGAGGCTGCCTTCCCTTTGTTAGGAAACATTTGAGTGCATCACAGCAGTTACAGGAAAGAGTGCGATCTGCTTTGCACCTTCACATCGGTCACTAGAGGGCAAGTTACATACACGTTTTTAAAAAGTAACGAAAATAGCAAAAAAAAAAAAAAAAAATTCAAAATGCGTGAAGGACTACAGAATTTGATCATTTTGTGGCTTTATTTTTGCAGGAGTTTTACAAAGAAGTTTACCTAGAAGGAACTATGGTCCACTCACATAGCATGAACAAGGCCTGGCTAAATCTCTCTCTATACGTGTCCAGGCAGTGTCTCTAAGCCACTGGAGTTTCCTCCCCGTGAATAAACAGTGGTTCATCCAGGAGCTGAATCACTCAGGCAGTGAGGTTATCTGCCACGGAGCTGGTGAGCAGCTCCTTCCCTCGCCCATGCTAAACCAAAGCTATTCACAAAGAAGCGCTTGCACGGCACCTTGAGCTTCATCATGGAATCTTGACATAACTTGTCTCCCCGGGCTGCAGACACTTCATCAACCCCAATCAGCTTGGCTTTGTACCGGACCCCTTCGCCTTTAAATCTCTTTATCAAAGTGGCTTCGCTGCGATCCTGACCTGAAAATGAAGAAAAATAGATTCAGAAACAAGCACACGAGCCTCTGATAGGCTTTCAGAACTTAACGTTCAGGGATCTGCTTCCTGCCTATACCTATATGCCAGTAAAGTCAAATCAAAAGAAATAAAATGACATCTCTAGCTCGAAATGCTGTCTCTACCCATTTAAACACAGAGATGACTTACTTCTTCTGAGCACCGACCTTTTGGACAGAAAAGGAAAACTTAAAGATAATCACCCCAGCAAAACAAGAAACAACATCAGATACCATGAGTACATATCTAATTCGCTTTTGATACACGATAGGTAACGAACCAACAGTTATCACTAGGAGTTCAAGTCCAAATGTCTTGCTAGGGATAGCATCAGCACTGAGTTTCCAGTATTTATAATTCTTAATGACACTTTGGCCAAGGTCCAAGACCCTCCTTACACCCAATTCCATGAACTGTCTCATAGGAAAAGTCCAGAATAATTTCTTTACATCAAGTAATGACACTGAACAATTATTTTAAAAAATGGTTTTATGATATTGCTTCTGGTAACTCAGATATGCAGGGAAATAGCCTGCTATAGTATTTGGTATTGATTGCCTATATCTTGCAAGAGGCTCTCTTCCTCATTATTAACATGATATTTTGCTACATATATCAATTAGGAGCTCAAGAACACCCACATTAAGAAAGGGACACACAGATGTTTATTGTAAACTTTCTAACCATTCTTCAAAAGCCAAGCCATTTCCATATTCCAAAGGAAGATGAGCATAAACTCCATTAGCTTGTTCATAGAGTCAGAAGTAGAAAACATAGCAGTCTAACACTGACTACATTTGCTGAGTCGGAGATCTGGACACTGGACCTACTGTTCTAGCAACCTGGGGTCTCCCAGGCCTCTGACACTTATCAGTGGCTCTAACTCCTGACTATTTCCCACTCAAAAGTTCCCTAGTCATCACAAACCTCGAGCTGAGGATGTCAGGGATAAGTCAGCCCATTCTCCTCCTTCTATAAAAAGAGACTGACGATGTTCTGAAGAAAAAAAAAATAGCTAACCATAGCATAGTACCTTTCTACTTATGAACTCTGACTTTCTTGCGTTTACGCACCCATTCAGTAAGGATTATCTCCTTTTTGACAAACACCATTACTTGCTGCCAACAAGTGAAGAAACAGTCTATGCTCCTAGAAACCCAAGGTGCTGGGGTGTTTTGTTTGTTGTTTTAGTCTGCAACTGAAAATAAAAATGCACTGTGCATTATGGCAGGCCTGTAAAAGGGTTGCCGTAGTGCATTGGCTAAACGTTACATTCTATCTATGGGAGGACAGTAAAGTATCTACCTTACAGATGCCAACAGTAATTTAAAGGAGACAGCACAAGGGAAACATGTGTTCACTTCACAGTAATCTTTCTGTAAATAGTAGCTATCTCTCCATGATCTGAACAATAAATGCAGCACTTGGAGATACCATGTTGGGGAGAAGGGATGGCTACAGAGACAAGTCTTAACCTGTAGTTCCCAACTCCCAATAGTCATTTATTACTGAATCCTGTGACTCCTAGTTTACCTATAGCTTTGATACAATAGTCCTTAAAGCAAATGATGTAAAGACACACAGAGACTATAAGGAATATAAATATTAAATGCCGGAGTACTACAAGGAGAAATAGCGGAGGGTAGAAAATATCGGACACTATATCCCTTCTTTGGATATGCATCTAAGCAACTTGGCCTATGACAATGCAAGCTTTCTCCTGTCTGTTCCACTAGGTTTGTTGACAGCAGATTGTATCTTGGTCTCTTACTCCATCTCATATAACCAACACATAGAACTGTTCTCATTATGGATAATACTTCTTTCACTACTCAGACTGTCCCAGAGTGAAATGATAACAGCAACAGCTGGAAGCACTTACTAGAAGTGTGTTACATATCGCACATGATGACTTCTTAATAAGGCAAGCATCTTTCTACAGACCCACAATGGAAGGCAAGATCGGAGAGACCATCAAGCCCACCCACACTCACTTAGCAGGAACAGCACAGGTTCGCCTAACGCCAAAGCTGGGATTTGGGTCGGCACACACTGTGTTCCAAGCCTGCTCTTTTAGCAACTATGATTAATTGCTTTTCATCTATGCAACTTCCCTTTGTATCCCCAATTTTACCTTGCACCAGAACTCACCTGGCCCAAATCCATTGTTCCTAAATATAAACATACTGGCAGAAGAAAAACAAAACAAAACAGTAACAACAAAAAAAACCCCAAAACAAAAAACCTCTGTTAGGACACAGAGGAAGCTTGAAAATAGAACAAATAGTTTCTAGAAAACTAGTCATGTCTAAAATCTGCCCTAGCATCAGATACAAAGAGCCTGAAGAAACATGGGTCAGGCACAGCCCGCTGCTGGGGAGAGATTCACATGAGGAGGCAGAGTCAGGGCAGGTGGAAAGGGCAGAGATTAATAAGACAATATTAGGCCATTTAGAGGAAAGTAAGGAGCCTAATTTAGATCGGGACCCAGGGCCAAGCTAATTTGTATGAAGGGCACTTATGCAGTAGAAAATCCAGTTTCTCATTAAATGCTCCACCATTAAAAGGGTAATTCTTCATAAGCACATCTTGAACACGGTCTCAGTTATATTAGTTAAAAAATAAATAACAGATATCAGAGCCCTAAGTGCGTGATCTCACTACAGTACATGCAAAGTTGGGGGCATCCCTGTGGCTTCTCACAGTCCTTTTGTACTAAAAGCAAACAGTGAAGCCATGATTCGGACAGGCTAAGCAGAGGTTGCTGCTTAAGCTGAGTCCTAAAATGCTTCTCCATCAATTACCCAGCATTCACTGTGTCCCTCACTCCCCTAGGAGTTTTACATCATGTAATCTCTCCTTTAGTCTTTTGCCTACTCCTTGAGTTATTCTGTGTAACATGCATGAAGCCACAGAAGACCATAGCAGTACAGCAGATTCCGCTACTTTCAAGTCCCAGCTGTAGAAATAGAGCATTTGCATCTGACAGAACCCACCCATGTAATGTGTATATATATATACAAGTCAGTGGTGTTAGGACACTCACAGAATGTACGGATATCACTTTTGTATAATGTTAGAATACTTTTAAAAGTTCAAAAGATGTCCCATATCTATTGATGTCACTCACTGTTGTGGTCTGAATGCTAAATGTCTCTCTGAAGTACTCAGAGTTGAACATGTGGTCTTCAGCTGGTGGCTCTGTTCGTGAAGGCTGGGGAGACTTTAGGAAATATTATCTTATTAGAGGAACTGGGTCACTGGTGGCTGGTCTTGAGGCTGTTTAGCTGAGTCCTTTTGGTTTATCCTCTGCTTTTTGAGGTAGACTCAGTATGACCACAGCCAGACCTCCTGACATCATGCCTTTCCTCCATCTGGCTGTGTCTTCCCTGCTTTGATGGACTGCATACCTCTGCATCAGTAAGTAAAAACAAACCTTTTCGCTCTTAAGTTGCCTTGGTCAGAGATTTGGTTTTTAAATCACAGAAATAAGAATGTAACTAATATAGAACAAGTGGTACTGAGAAATTGCTGTGATAAACCTAAGCCTGTGGTTCTTAGGACTTTGAAACTATTTGATGGCTTGTAAGTGTATGGATGAGTTTGGTATTTGAGACTCAAAAAGCCTAACTCTGCTTAATGGGCCATTCTAGAATGAGCTTGAAAATCAATAGTGCCAAGAGAAACATGAACAGAGAGAATCCCACTATTGAGCATTGAGAGGAAAACTATAACCACCAGCGACTGTGTTGGGGTTATTTCTCTGATATTTGGGCTAAGGATCTGGCTTTGTTCTTCTGGTGTTCCAAGAACCTGAGTGGTGCTGAATTTCAAAAAAGTGGGAATGTTTGCTATTTATCGAGCACTTATTATGTGTTCTAAGGTATTTATAAGTGCCTACTGTGTGTTCCAAGATGGTTATGAGTGCTTGCTGTGTGTTCTAAGATGTGTAGAGATACTGCAAATGGTCAGTATGTTGACGTCACTCTATTCATGGTGGTTGCATTCTAGTGGATAGCTTTTGTCAAATCTATTGATCAAAGATCAAGATTTGTTTTTAGCCTTTCTGTTACTTTAGTCTTAGGGAGGATCACCATAAAGAGAAAGCATCATGAGATCTAAGTGACTTCTATGAAGAGTGTGCATCAGTACAGGAACCCAGAAGACAGAGCTGAATAGTTGTAAGTTATCAGCAACTACAAGCAGTGAATGGACAACCATAAAGAGAAACTCAAGCATCTTGTGAGTCTCAAAAATGCGGCTTCGAAAGACAACTTTCCAATTTGGACCTTTGCAAGTTGATGATAGTTTTTTAAACATGTACCAAGTACGAAGAAAAAGATACTTGTAGGTTACTAATATTCTTTTAATAATAGATCCCATTAAGTTGGAAACATGACTTGAGTTCATCTGTAGCTGCCTGGACACCCATGCCTGGGAGATGGAGAGTGTGCATGGGAGGCAGGCCCACTACCGCACTAACATTGTCCTGAGAAGATCACAGCCAAAGGGCCAACTGAGAGGCTTAAAGCATTAGGCTCTGCTCTGATGAACTTGCTTAGGTTTCCTGAGCAAGAGTATTAACAGCATCAGAAGAGGTGCTATGGAAAGGGGTCTTAAGCCAATTCTCCAAGTCATGTGACAAAGGAGTTTTCAGTATCTCCTTGATTTGAATTCAAAAGGAGGAAGATACTGGGTTTACATAGGATCACACTGTTGCCTGGAAGCAAAAGTCCCTGAAAGGAAAGCAATACCTGTCTGAAAGTGGGAGGCTGTGGATTCAGGATGCTCTTTCTCTATCACCACACCTGCACATACGCAATAACACAGCATCCTGGATTTCACCCCTATGGGGGTTCACTATTGAGGTGTCTGATGGGTGTTTCTGGAGAGAAAATGGTCTTCCCAAGCATCTTTGAATACCAATTATCCACAATGACATTTATGATTAATATCTGGGGTTT